ATCCTCCTGAATTCAGACAGCGGAGCGGGAGAAGCACACCGCGTTCTGCGTGGGCGGGCAGGGAGCGCTCAGCCTGGGGGTGCAGGCGGCGGACGCGCAGGTGCCAGTCAAGTGACATAGATTTCTTCCCTACAGATGGCTCACAACAGAACCAGAACGGGACACCCAGGGTCTCAGGTGAGCCCCGCCCTCGTGTCCCTGCCTCAGCCCGCCCCACGCTCTGTGCTACCTCCCTTCACCCACCCCTTGTCCCCCAAGGACTCCTTTGGGTGCTGCTGGTGGCCGGGGGCGTGGCCACGGCTGCTGTCGCGGTGCTGGTCGCTGGGGTCTGGGGCCGCTGCTACTGCCAGCGAAAGGACTCAGGTGAGAGTGCGCTGCGACACTGCCCCCTCGTGGCCGAGGTGGAAACTGCAGCCACGGGATGAGGATGCGCGAGTCCTGCACCCCCGCTCGCGCCAAAAGGAAGGTGGGCTGTGCAGCCGAGCGGGGTGGAGAAGGCTGTTTCTACTCCCATGTCCTTCAGGAATAGAGACGAAGTACCCCAAGACGAGCTGAGAGCTCCAGCCTCTCCTAAGTGACTGTCACTTTTCTTTCGCAGTACTGGGGGTAGAACCAGGGCCTATGCACTGTGCTCCATCCCCAGCCCTTTTTATTTTAAAACAGGGTCTCACTGAGTTGCTAAGTTACCCAGGCTGGACTTGAAGTTGGGATCCTCCTGCCTCAGCCTCCCAGGGTGCTGGGATGATAGGTGGGTGCCATAACACCTGGCTGACCGCCTCCTCTTAATTCTTGTCGCCTCCCCCCTTAGAAAATCCATTCTACAGCAATGTCTTGTACCGGCCCCGGGAGGTCCCAAAGAGGAGCAACGCCTGGCCTGGACAGGGGAAGGCGCTGGACACCCCCAGGGAGGACCAGAAGGCCCAGAGGGTCTACTGTACCTCTTTCCCCCAGCCCCCCACCCGCCTGCCACAGCCAGCAACCAAACCTCGCCTCAGCCCCGGGCCGGCCCACGCCATCTCTACAGTCAGGGTCTCTCCTGGCCCAGGCACCTCAAAATAGCCCAGGCCAAGAGGGTTCCCCAAAGCCACAAAAGGAATCAGAGACCCCTGAAGGGCCCCATGCAGACCTGGTCAATGGCTACATACACCGATGCTCCGGAGAAAAGGCGGGCGTGGGACAGACCCATCCCGGGACCCGTGAAGACAGGCTCTTTCCTTTGGCTCCAAGATATTCAATAAAACTCTTGAAGAAGGCAGTGCTAGAGGTAGTGGGCATTTGGCAGTGCTAAAGACATTGAAGCCGGGCGTGGTGGTGCACACCTGTGATCCCAGCACTCTGGAGGCAGGAGGATCTCCCTGAGTTCGGGGCCAGCCTGGGCTACACAGGGAGACCTTGTCTCAAAAAAAAAAGAAAAAAAAAAAAATCGCGATTTTGGAGTTTCTGATCCTCCCAGAGATGGCTAGAGAGGCCCAGGGGGTGAGGGGACCCTGTGACAAATCCCTCTTATACTTGTAGGAGCTCCCTACAAGTTTGGAGGCAGTGCTTGGCGCTGGAGACCCCCTCCCTCCCAGGTGCAGACCCCCAACCCCTGCAGGGCCCTGGAGTGAGGCAGGGAAAACCAGGCTCCTACTGTTACCTTGAAGTGACACCCGCTGCCGGCTCCCCTCCCCCACCGCGGTTTCCATGGGGACAGATGTCCTTTCTGCGGATCAGGTCTTGGAGCTGCCCGGATGCAGAGGAGGGGCGGGGCCTCACTTCCTCTCTCCATCCCTCCCTCTCCCCATCCTTTCCACCATCCCGGTTTGATGTCTGCCTCCAGCCTGCCTCCCCACACTGTCTCCACCTCTGCGTGGAGACACCTTCCCATCCCAGCTCTGTCCCTAAAACAAAGACCTGGTGACACCCCGGTCCCTCCAAGAGGCAGGTGCCTCGGGATAGCCCTGGGGACCTTCCCAAGGCCTGCCGGCCATCCGTGCGGGCCAGTACACAGGTGAAGAAGCTGGCCAGGACGCCCCGGGCTCCCCCTCTGTGAGTCCGAGACTCCCGCGTCCTGCAGCCAAGGAAGAGCACTGGAGAAAGACAAGCACTGATTTATTGGCTGGTGAGGGGATGACGCTCGGAGACAGTCCTGGGCCCTCGAACCCGGTCGGCTCCAAGATGGCCGGGAGATGGCGAGGGTCTGGGTGTTCATCTTTCCCAGCCCTCCACAGTGTCCCTTAGGGAGCAGGGCAGGGGCTCTGTGTGACCACGGGGTACAGCAGCGCCAGGTGCTCCGCGCCCTGCACGGGCAGGGGCCGCGCGCTGTAGTGCAGGACCAGCTCGGGGACGCTGGCGAAGGGGCCGCTGTGCTGGCCCAGCACCACCTGGTTTGCTCGAGGCCGCGTGAACTTCAGATGCAGGAAGCCCTGGCTGCTCCTGGGGGCAGAGGGGGCAGAGGCAGCAGTGAGTTTCCCAGGCCCCCAGCACTGTCCTTTGGCACCTAGAGGTCCCTCTCCTGGGCTGGCCTCAAACTTGAAATCCTCCTGCCTCAGCCTCTCAAAATACTGGGATTATAGGAGTGCGCTACTACACCTGCTCTTTCCCTTTATTTTCTCCCAGCTCAGGGCAATTGTCACTTTCTTCCAGAGATCTTACAAACAATCTGGTCCCACTCTCTGATATGCCTTGGTCTCATTTCGCTCTTAGTTTTTATTTATTTTTTTTTTTTCTGGTACTGGGAATTGAACTCAAGACCTCACACTTGCCAGGCAGGCACTGTGCCACTGAGCTAAATCCCCAGCCCCCCAGCTCTTAGTTTTTAATCTCAATCTCTGTCTCTGGCATGACCTCTATCTCTGGTGCTAATGGAGCCCCAGACTCTACTGCAGAGCCTGGAACACAGTAGGTGCTCAGTTAATGTAGATTCAATGCAGAGATGTATGCTGGCTCCTTCCAAGCACCCCCAGATTTACCCCATTCTCTCTCCAAACTTTCTGCTGACCCCTTGTGCAATCCATAGTCAACCTCCAGGGGGGAATGACCTAGAACCTGGCAATTATTTTATTATAATTAGCATTTTTTTTTTCCCCTTTGAGACAGGGTCTCACTATGCAGTTCAGGCCCGCCTTGAGCTCACTTCATATCCCAGGCTGGTCTCAACTCACAATGATCCTCCTGCCTCAGCCTCTCGAGTGCTGGAATTACAGGTGTGTGCCACGATGCCTGGCATAATTAGCATTAATTAAGTGCTTCTTGTTTTCCAGGCACCACTGCTCTCAACATTTTTTCACCTTTTTTCTTGGAGACAGGGTCTTGGTATGTGGTTCAGGCTGCCCTTGAACTCACTATGTAGCCTAGGTCGGACTTGACTGCACAGCAATCTTTCTGCCTCAGCCTCCAGAGTACTGGGATTACAAGCGGGCACCGTGCGCAGCTACTTTATCTATTTTCAAAAATTTAATCATCACAGTACCACCAGAGAGTTGATGCTATTATTACACTCATCTTACAGATTTAAAAAGTGGAGGTTCCAAGAGGTTGAGCAACTTCACAAAGGTCACACAGGCAGGAAGTGGCAGAAACAAGATTTGAACCTCCCTCCAAAGCCCTCTTCCCATCTTGTCCTTTTAGATCTTGCACTCGGGCGCCTAGTACAATCTTCGGAACATTTTATAATTGGCCACACTTGGAATTGTAAGGACAGAAGCATGCAAAGCCAACTCACAGTCTCACTGCGATTCTGGCCTGAGTCAGACACCAGTAAATGGATTCAACATTTGGACTAGGAGCGGGCCAGAGGAAGCCTGGGCATCTTTTTTTTTTTTTTTTTTTTTCCCAGTACCAGTGATCGAACTCAGGACCTTGCACTTGCCAGGCAGGCGCTTGTGCCACTGAGCTATACCCCCAGCCCAGCCTGGGCATCTTTGTTCCCACTGTCACCCAAGGCCTATATCTCCTGTGACTTCCACTCTATCTTCTTTCTACCTCCAACCACAGGGAACTCATTCTCCTTTGGAACCACACAGTTCTCCCTGGAAGCCCCGCCCATCTCCGCAACCCCGCCCACTGCTCCTTGAGGCCCCGCCCCGCCCGCTGGAGCCCCGCCCCCCGCGGTGCAGCACGCTATTCTGCCACCTCCGTCCTTGGGAGGCTGGGTCTCACCTGAGGGACAGGGAGCAGTCCTGGGGGCTGGTCTCACTGAGCCGCACGAGGTAGCTGCCTTCTTTGCAGAGTGACAGACGGTTCTCCGCATCAGCCCGACTCAGGGGCCCGTGAAACCACCTGGGGGAGGAGACAAAGGCCTCCTGAAGGGCCACTCCCCTCGCTACACAAGCTCCTGGGCCAGGCCAGCAGAGAAAGGAACAAGGACAATTACAATGGCCTTTTTTTTTGCGGGGGGGATGCTTTTTTATTTTTTATTTTGAGGCAGGATAACATTAAGTCACAAAGTTGCCTATGCTGGGCTTGAACTT